GGCAGGGGGATCTCGCCCCAGGAAGCAGAGGCTGCTGCCTGGGCGGGATTTACCAGGCAAGAGGATGCCTTTGCCCGAGCCTCCCATCCCCCGAGCTCAGGTGGAAGAGAAGAGGAGACTCCTGGGTGCCAAATCCGATCACCTGCCCCCTCCCCCAGGGCTACCGTTACCGCGGCCTGGGTCCCCGCCGCAAAGCGCGCTGTGCTGCCAGCCCTGCAGTCATCGTCACGGCTCCCATTCACAGCTCGGGCACAGGGGGAGTCGAGCAACTTGCCCACTGCTGTACAGCAAATCGGCCACAAGGCTGGGCTCCTCCCTCATGGCTCCTGACTCCCACAGCCATGCCTTAAACACTGGACCACACTCTCCCTTCCCCTGGGTTTGAATGAGGGATGGGTTCCCCAGCTCTCCCCAAACATTTAATGTCTTTGGGAGGGATTATTTTACTCCCTCCCCGCTGTGACCTTCTGGGCATGCCCACTCCCCCCTCCTCCCCACCTGGATGTGCCATTTTTCCATCCACGAAGGTCGGCCAGGTAAATGCTCTGTCCCCATAATCCTCCGAACTCGTAGATTTAAGGCAGATTCAGGACAGAGACATGGACTTTCTTCAGGACAGGGATTTTCTTTGTGCCTTGTATAGCACACAGTATACCCCTTATACACCCCCTCCCTTCCCTCCCCCATGAATAACAACATCCCAATCTACATTTGGCATCCACGGTGAAAGTCACCCCATGTTTCACTGCTCCATTCAACACCCTCCTAGGTTCACTCTCAGCGAAAGCCAGAGAATGATTCCCCCAGCTAGTGATGTAGTTTCACATTTCTCAGAAAGAGGAAGCTTCGACTTGGCAGATCCTGGAAGCAAAAGAAAAAAGAAATCCCTAAGCAGGAAGCTAATTTTCAACCGTGTGCAATTACTATTGCGGTTTTTATTTACCGCTATTTTCAAATAAAACTGTGATCACTGATCAGCAATCGCCTGTCGTTGAAAGGTACCATGGCACTTTCCTCCTAGTGTTGTAATTCCTCTCATTTTACGTAGGAAGAAATCCCAGCACAGCAAGCCTCAGGCAACTTGGCTCCCGGCATGCAAGAATTCAGATTTGACTAGCACTCACCTCTCCCAACTCCCAAGTCAGTGATTTAATCAATGGACTGGACTGCCTCCCTTACTGACTTGTGATGAGCAGGGGGTTTCCAGTTATTCTGAATGCTTGTCTTCAATAGGCGTGTAGGTTGTAGCCGTGTTGGTCTAAGAATATAGGCAGACAGGGTTCTTTGGGTGAATCTGATATCTTTTATTAAACCAACTTAAACGGTTGGAAAAAAGTTTTAAGCAAGCTTTCAGGTTAAAAAAACCCTGAAAGTTTACTTAATTTTTTTTTCAACTATTTAAGTTGGTCTAATGAAAGATATCAGATTCACCCAAAGAACCATGTCTGTTTTCAATAGCACATTTACAAAGCAGGGTATAGAAGGGCATTTGTAAGATATTGTTAGGTTCTGGGGAGAGAGTTTTTCCTCATTTTTTGAAGGGAGGCTGCATTAAATTTTGAAGGAGAGATTGCATAGAAAAAGTGAAACTCAAAGTTGTACTGAGAGAATCTCTGCCTGTTTTGTTGCGGAGGGAGGGAGTTCACTTTTCTCTGAGAATTAAACCAGCAACTAAACTAACATTACTTAGCCAGTATATTAGACAACTTGCAGAACACCTGAATCCTTCCTCACACCAGGGTTTTGCAGTGATTTGCTGGGATTATTTTGAGCACCAGACGTGTTGGATGGGTTCTTACTGATTTTGGCCTGTAGCGAGAGGGAGCCCAAACAGAGCAGTGAGTCAGAAGCAGGTGGCAGCGCAGTGCACAGCTGTCTGGGTGACTCGGGTGGGCTGGACTGACTCACTTGAAGAAATTAATAAACACAGGAGTGGGAGGAAGACAAGAGGCCATCTGGCTGTGGATGAGGTTTGGACTAGAAGGAAGAGGCTGATTGGGGACAAAGGCCAACATTTTGGTAGATCTGAAACCTATTTGGATTTAATTCATCCTCTGGGTGATTTTCATAATTACAGCCCAAACACCTTGGTTAGGGGATGGTGGAAGAACCCAGGAAATAATCAAATATGTTATGCTTTTGAGTTTTCTACGCTGAAAGAAATCAGAAGTAGCACTGATTAGAAACTGCAATACGAACATGTTTTTTGCACAGATTGACTGTGGGTATCCAGTAGTTTGCCATGAAGTGATAGTATGTTTTCATGTGCCCAACTTTGAAACAGTTTCAAGAGCCAATTATACCTGATCCTACCAGTAGTCACACGTATGAGCATATTTTTGCGGAGTCCCACATGTTGATGTGCAATAGGGCTGTGTAAGGCTTCAGACCTGGATAAGATTCAGACACATCGGACGCCGAAGCCACTTCGGCCAAATCAAAGCGGGAACCCAGTCCGGAGCTCCAGATCAGATCCCTGGCATCCAAAGCAGCTGGATCCAAAGCCAAATCAAATAGCTGCCTATTTGCACAGGCCTAATGTGCAAGTGTTTACAGGGCTGTATTCTTAGTTTGGAAGAGAAATTAATTATGTTGCCTGTGTTGTACGTTGATCACTTTTGCTATTGTAATGTGGCAGCATTTGCAGATTAAATTAAATTTCCTTTCAGCTAATGATATCCTTGAATGCACCTCAGTGAGGTTCTTCTACCCATAAGGTTTGTTTTCTTGTCCTGAAGGCATTGTGAGGAAATAAAGTTTTAAAAAAAATCTGTTTATTCCAGTTGTTCAGAAGTTTCTGACTGGTAGAACAAAAATGTCTTTCAGGTCAGAGCTACACTTCCCTCATGAAATCATACCACCTGATTTCTTTCATTTCCTGCATGCTCATTTAGTGATCCATCAAGTAATGTCAGGTAGTCCCCTGGAATTGGCACGCACACGGACCAATCTATTGCCCCTTTGCCCTCCATTATATATCAATGATCTCCCACAGTAGATATGACACTATATAGTGCAGACTCCTTACTTAGACAAAACTGCTAATGGCAGCAAGGGAGAAGATGGCATACAAAGAGTCCTGGGGCAGAATCCTATTCTACTTGCACACCCAAAAAGTAGTTACCCCACCACATAACTGCTATTTTTAGCATTCACTCACAGTTTGCAATTCTATTTCATATGCAACATGGATACATATGTCCATGTACTGAGCATGCACAGTAGGCTGCACATGCCTGGGTAGATATCCAGCTCTGTATGCATATAGGCTGGGCAGATAAATGTCACAAAATTGTACCTGACAAAATCCACAACTAGCAGGTATTAGACGCCAGTGGTGTAGGGCCATCCCCTTTAAGCAAGTGGCTAGTCAGGTCTCCCCGGAAGCAGGAGACCTAGGTCCTCAGCCCCCTCACTCAGCACAGGTTTGACCCTGCAGCTCTCTGATTTCCCAGCAAAGTGCTCTGACCACCAACCAATAGGTTAAGAGTTATCCATGCTGCTCTCCAGCACTCCTTTTGAAAGTGGCCCCATGGGCATCCAAAAGAAGAAGGTAAGTGGGCCAGGAGAGCAAGCATAAGCTAGATGTGTAGTCTAGAATGCTGCTCTAGATTGCAGGAAATCTTGGGTTCTGCCCTAAATCCTTGCTCTCAAAGAGGGAAGAAAGTTCCCTACACTTTCCAACCTTTTTGATGAATGACTACTGGATGCAAGGTACAGTGGCTCAGCTTCAAAAGAAAAGACATAGAGGGCCCTTGCTAATATCTAGACTGTGGCTTATGGTTTGGGCAGTTTGTGGAGAACTAGGATTCCACCCATAGACTTCACTTGTCATGAGCTTCTCCTGGGTTCCTGTAGGTCTAAATGAATACTAAAGGCCTTTCTCTTTCTATAGAATTCAGTGAGGAAATGATACAACAGGGAAACCACTGGGAGAGCACACAGTAGTATTAGATGTGTATTTCTGAAGGGTATTTTTTGGTAGGAATGAAAGGTCTAGTCCTGACTTCCCAGTGTACCTATTGTACACAAGTGGATAACACCTTGCTGTTCAGGTTAAGTTAGGGTGCTACTGCAAAAGAGCTGACTTACTCAACAGCTCTGGGAACAAAAGATCTTATTTTCACTTAATATTTTATTTTGGAAACATGCTAAATTTGCTTCCAGAAGTCAGCTGACATGATTTTCCATGATATTTGGCCTCAGATCTGAGCTGTTGTCTAGTTGAGCTCAAATCAGTTCAATAGGCAATGGTAGAGGGTCACTTTTAAGTCTCATTCACAAAACCAAATATTGTGAGATGGGTGAAGATTGGTTTCAATTTTGACGCAAGCTAGAGCAACAAATATACACAGCTGTAATCCCTCCCAAGGGGCAAGGTTTTCAACAAGACATTTTGGTCATAGCTCTTCAGAACCAGAGATAGGGCTAATGTGGT